ACATAATAGCCTGTGCATATAGTGGTATACTCTAACAAGCAGTTTGGGGCAAGGTATGTACAAAGTAAAAATTCTTTTGTCTTTATTAAATATTAAATCTAATCAATTAAACACACTGTGTATGATTATTCTATATTTTTTCTATTAATAATCAATCCATAACATTTTGAAAAGACTGAGGCCTTGCTCTTCAGTTTCTGTAGTACTAATAATTCACACTAAAGCTCAATCACAAAAAGGAAATGTAACATACCATATTGACAAAGGCTGAGAGGAAAATCAATACAATAGTGAAGACTCCGACTAGGGTGTTATTGATCCTGGACTGAACAATCTTCCGTGAAAGAGTCTGGAGTGGACCTGGAAACAGCTGTATAGCGGGAGAAAATAAGATATTTGAAACTATGGTTTTGTACAAATATATGGCATGCTGAAATGCTACAGGCATTAATGTTTAATTGCCCAAGAATGAATTAATGGCCAACTGTCACTCCCCACATCCATGTAATTTTTGCAGCAGGAACATATTAATTGCTGAATAACTTGTTATATTGACTTCATTCTCCCTGGTAAATATAATAGCTTTTAGGTGAAAATCAGAGAATGGCATCCAAAATTAGGAATATTTTATGATCAGGCCCACCCTTGTTTTCACTATGTGATCAAACCCTAATCCGAGAAAGATATACCAACTTGAATATGCTTACAAAATCTTGAGCATTCTGTTCTCTTTCCAAGTTGTAAGCTATTTATACTTTTCTTATATAAAAAGGGTTAAGGAAGATCAAGGTTAGGTGGAAAACAAATGCAAACAAAATAGTCAATTGATGATATGGATGCTGAGAAATGAAAATGCCCTAAAACCTCAGAAATATCTTTGGCATAGAACAAGCAAACTACAACTAAATCTGATAATCCTAAAAATGGATGGATACATTATCGAAGATACAAAAGTGGCCCAATAGTTATCAAAATTATCTTGAATTAATAAAGTTCAAAGAATTTTGACAAATGAATTTGGGCTCCCTGAAATGTATGTGTGCTGAGACTCTTATCCTGGCATGCCTAGACAGTCCTTTTTTCCTTTGTTTCTTCCTCTTCCACTCCTCACTCCCCTCTTTCTCTTACTATCACTAGGTTTTTGTTTGGTGTCCCCCCCCCCTTTCAACTCTCCCACACACATTTTGAATGTCACAAATCCATGGAGACCAAACAGATACTTTAGGCTTAGAATGCAAATGCAGAAATTCTATAGAAGTTAAAAGCTCCCCGCTGGGTGTTAATTTCAGCTCATCATAGTCCTCTCCACTGCCATTCCTAGAGAAAAACCCCCCAAAAAACCCAAAAGACAAATAGCAGCTCCCATATCCATCACTATTATTTCATCAACTAGCTTCTAAGCAAATTTTTTTTAAAAAGAGAGGAGAAAAAAACCCCAATTAGTCTTTTAGCAATGGCTAACCCATAAACCCCACCCCCCTTTTTGCACTTAGAGAAGGACTTTAGCTTCCTTCAAACACAAACATAATTATGAAACTCTTTGAGGATAGAAAACATGGATTTGCTGGAAACTCTTACAAAAAGAGAGAGAGGGGGGAACAATCCCCAGTAATGTTGACTATTTTTAAGTTGCTGCTCTCCCCAGCACCCAATACAAAGAATTTCTCTGTGTTTCCTAGCATAGGCAAAGGAACGGATTGGAAAGGAGACATAAAAGAACCTGGTATAAGACACAGCATAACGCAGTATCATATTGCTAATGATGGTGATGATGAAGATGATGATAATAGAAACAGCAACAACAATAATATTTGACAGTGTTCTTGTGGTTAAACTAAGAGTATAGCACAACAGCAGCTCTTACTGTTATGGATGAATCACCGTGAAATGCCACTCCATTTTATATTGGCAGAAATAAATTATGCATTGCATTGAAAACAAAATTGCAGGTAATCCTCAACTTACGACCGTTTGTTTAGAAACCGTTCAAAGTTTAGACCGTGCTGAAAAGTTACCACAGTGCTGAAAAAAGTCCGTTCCTCGCACTTATGACCATCACCCTCCCCGTATTCATCTGATCTCAATTTGCGCACTTGGCAACCAGCTCACGTGTATGGCCAACTGCAATGTCCCGTGGTCAAGTGATCGTGATATGTGACATTTTTTATTGATTCCTGGCAAAAAGTTGCCACTTGGAAGAATGGGTTTGCATTTAAAACCGTGGTTTTTGCTTAATGACCCCGGTGAGTGATTCGCTTAACAACCATCGTAAAAAGATCGCAAAATTGTGTCTGATTTCATTTACAACTGCAACGATCTATTATGGAAATTCCGGTCCCACCTGTAGTCACAAGTCGAGGATCACTTGTATTATCAGCACTTCTTATAAGTACTGACACCTCCCTTACTGTAAATACAGGAGCATTTTTAAGCCGCATAGGTTAATGGCCATCAATGCCTTCCAAGGTTTGGCACTGACTGATTCAAAGATATGGAAGAATATGCAAGAAGAAGCGGGGGGGGGGACATGAAGGCAGTAAACCATGAGTTCTGTTAAGACCTGGGCAGGGGAAATGGGTGCTTGTCTCAGAAATGCAGCAGTTGATTCAGAGTGGGTCACCATCAGGACTGTCTACATCAAAATCCTTTTGGATACTCAGACAACAGTTCAGAGTCTAAGCATTTAAGTTAACATGTCAATGAGCTGGAAAGTTCATAATTTTAACTGTTAGATTTGTCACTGGGTCTTTCATTAGCCAATGTTAGCCAAAGTTAACAGTTTCCTACTGACTTTTTTCTCCTTGTAAAGAAAATCAGAATATTTATGTTCTGGCTATGTTTTGTACAGCAGACAAAAATGAAGGGACTGATGGTGCCAGTCAAGGATATATGGCACCCCAGGCTATATTGACTGGTGGCATCATCAGATGCAAAGATTTGTATTTTTGGAAGACTTTGGAAGGAAGGGTGGCTTTAGTGCCCTTCAGGCTAAAGTCAACTGCCTACGTGGCTTTTAGCCTGAAGTCTGTCATGCTAAAGGATGATATACGGACACATACTGTATATCTATTTATTACTTGTGTGAACATATAATTTTGTGCTTTATCAAACCAACCAAATGTATGCTTGCATACATCATAATAATAATGTGATATAAAATTTAAAAGGCCTGGAAATCTATATTATACATAAAACACTCCCCCCAAACTACACCAAATTGCTTAAAGCCTTCTTTCTGGATTTTCAATTTAAAAAAAAAAGTCAAATGTTGGTAAGCAAAGCATATCAGCAATGATGCAAACCAGGGGTTTATCTTTCCAATGCTGTATATTTATGTTGGCCATTCCCCATGCACAGTTCTAAGTATCCTGATAAATGCCAAATACAAACAAGAAAAGAAATTAATTATTGAAATGCAATCTTTCCTCTGAAATTATATTAAAAATCCTATTGGATTTCAGCCCCAAATATGGCAACAGTAGAACAATACCCAACCATGTGAATTGATGTTCCAATAGGATGGACATTGTTTCTAACCTATCAGACATTCACTGAAAAAATACTGTTCTCATATTTGAGGAACAGTATTTCCTATTGTCTTCATCTCATTTTAAGATCAAAAGAAACTTCCAATTTTAAAACCAACCTTTTGCTAATTTACAAGTATGGGACATATAATCCCCTATCACTTTAATATTTTCTTGTTTTAGAACATAACTTTCACTCCACAAAATCCATCTGAAAAACTGCTGCTGAGCTGTGATGGGAACATTTATTAAGTACTTGGGGAGTAGTTATGTTAACATATTTAATTAATTAAATTATGTTTAAAATTAATCAGAATTTAACACTTGACTTCCTCCACTGCTTTCCTATTGTTCCTCTTGTTTGAAATATGGTTCCTAATATGTTACTCCCTAGTGTAGCCCTTTTCCATCCAAGCTCCTGGTTTAGAGTTTTAAGGACAATTAATTAAAACAGTGCAACGGGAATCAACTCACCTTTACACAGGAATAAATGACCGAAACAAACACTAGTGTGGTCAATATCACAAAACAGGATAGGTAAAACGCCAGCATGAACACTGAGCTGAAACCAGAAAACAAAGTCAGGTGGGTCTACAGCTTGCATTATCCATAAATCATATTAAATCTCTATTATCATCACAGATCAGCATATGGTGGATGGGGTACAATCAATCAAATAGCACAGAAAATACATTAGAGACTAAAAATAAGGGGGGGGGGAATTAAAATACAAAAAACTAAAACATATTAAAACAGAAAGTATATGCATACCTGCATGTTTAAAAGGTATTTAAAAGGAAGGGGTGGGAGCATTAGAAGGGTAAGAAAGCATAAAAAGTTAAATTACATAGTACTTTAAGAGGGAAACTAGGTACCCATTAAGTTTAATTGATGGCATATAGGTCATCATCCAATGAATTTTGAGCACTGCTGTGCAGAACCTGACAACAATGCATGTAAGCCGCAGGGAGGTGTCCTGTGTGCCCTGGGTATTTATGCAGTAATGGTGAGATAAGACTAGTATGGATATATCTATAATACAGGCATTGGAGAAACATAATGCCCTGTTGTTTCTGTGTTTCCTGAATCACAAGGGCATTCTCTCTTCAGGTAAGGAATATTCTTGTATCAGCCTTCAAGGAAAACTGAGGCGAGGGCATTATATCATGCCAGGACACCAACCTCCAGTGCTTAGGGATTTCAAGTTTATCTAAATCAGACATGTCAAACACAAGGCCCGGGGGCCGGATGCGGCCCACGAAGTGGTTTCATGTGGCCCACGAAGCCATCCTGGAAACAGTGAGGGAACAGCCCCCTCTGCCTTGGCCCTGGCCCAGGCCAGCCGGGAGCCAATATACAATTTTGTGGTGGCCATCTATGCTGAAACTCATTCAGTCTTAGCTCCATAAGCCCCCCCCCCCCCGCATGGCCTGAGAGGAACAGTGAGGCTCCTCCAGTAGACCATGCCTTGGCACTTGCCCTGGTCCCACCCCCTTCTGCCAGAGACAGATCTGTCTCACTCCTGCCCAGGCCCTCACAGGCACCCTTAACGCGAACGATGTAGAGCTGGCCACATCCACCCACTCCATCCACGCCCACCCAGTAGGCCGCACCCACCCTGGCCACACCCACCTGGCCCCCTGAGGGCAACCGCAATGCTGATGCGGCCCTCAATGAAATTGAGTTTGACACCCCTGATTTAGATACTATATGTAGGGGAGACAGAGTCCCTCTTGGATTCACTGGCAATAAAGGTTAGATCCAACTGGCGCTCTGTATCTGCTACATACTGTTTAATGAGTGCTTTGGCCTGAGCAGAAGATCTCTCAAGAAACCCAAGGGTGAGATTTTAATTGCCACTGCCTGGTTTCCATATGGATTGAAAATCATCACTCATTGCTAATGGGGCAAGACCAAGGGGGAAAAAAGGACCAATGGCTGAGTATGGTCATCCGGCCTCTCGCCTCCACTTTCATGAAGCCCGTTTCTACTTACAGGGTGGCATTAAACACACAATTTGGGACTTGAAGGGCTCCTTTTAAAAATTTCAACTATACAAGTTCCATTGGTGCAAAATTGGAGAAAGGGCGTAGCTGGGCACTATACAGAAGTTATACCACTGACTTGGCTTCCAATAATTTGAATGCTGCAGGTATATAGAATACATTATTTGGCCCAAGTGAGATTAGACACACAAGGAAGCTCTCAGTGTATGTGATGCAAAACAGAGTAATAATAATCATAATAATGATACCAATAAGAGAGGATAGTAGAGAAGAATGAGAAGGCTAATAATGATTCTATGGTAGCCATTTTTTTATCCGAAGGAATTAAAGGATAGCGGATGAACCCTTCTGTGCATTTTCAACAACGTAGTGGCCTTCCTACTGCTGACAGAATGACAGAGTAGCCACAGGTATCTGGAAGAGGAGACCTGCTTGATCTTGTGGCCATTTATTCTCCAAGAGTAGCCCTTGAGCCTTTTGGCAAATGCCATGATTTTAGTTTTCAGAAAACTGAGTTCTAGCTGGTTCTCTCTTAGTGCTCTCAGTGCTTTTTAAAAAACCTAATAGGTGTTTTTGAAAGTGTTATTGCTTTTGGGTTGCCTTCCTCATTTCTCTTGGTCAAAAACATTTTCTACCCATGTATGCTCTCTATCTATTTCCAATAGCCCAATCTTGTTTATCTCTGTTAGCTTTGCTCAGCACCCAAGTTTCTTCATAACTGTATTATATTTGTAGGCTCAGAAACGTGGAGTCCTTGGTGCTCTCTGAGCTTGGTTGTTTTCTTCCAGATGTTTCATTTTCCAATAATCAAGTTCAGAGAGCACTAAGAACTCCAAAAATCAACTGTAAGCTACACTACAAATGTTATCCTCTTTAATAACTCACCTCTTCTTTAATCTCATGAAATCACTTGGATACTGATAAAACAAAATTTTCTACAAAACATGACAAAAAGAGACTATTCAAAAGAATGTTTTATGTCTCTGCGCCCAACTGTTTCTAGTTCCTGTTTCAATTTCTCCAGTGTACACTTGAAGTCCACATTCATGTGGCTTTACAATTCCTTGTTTTACCAGAGCTTCAATTTTAGTGATGGAATGGGAGACTTTCTACTATAGATTCATCTTCAAAACATTTTCAAAGAAGGATCACTTATGGAAACTAAATTGGGGAAAAAACAGTATTTCAGACTTTCTCTGTGATATAATACCCTTCCCCCACACACACAAAATTGCTTTCCTCTGGTACACAGGGGCAATTTCCTTGAGATCCGAATAACAACTTTATAATTTAGATAATAGCTGCAACCTTCAACACAGCTTCCCTAGCACAGCTCAGCTTTGTGCAGTAATCTTCAGTTTAAAAGAGAAACAAAGGGGATCAGATTCAAAGAGATGGGGAGGGAAAGACTTTCTCATAAATTCCATAATGTAATTAAGAGAATGGGAAAACTCATTTGCTGGATTTCTTAATCAGCAAGAATCAGGTTAGGGACGCCAATACCATTCTCCTTGGTGTTTCATATATACTTTCCATTACAGAGGTATCTGCAGCAAGAATCAAACCAGGGGTAGGAAGTCCTTCAGTTACTGCTGAACTATAATGACCCATAAGCCCCAGCAGTACGATAAATGAGGGTGAAGGTTCGTTTTCCGAGCTTGAGGGTTGGTTTCCGAACGTTTCGTTACCAGGCTAGGTAACATCTTCAGAACGAACCTTCACCCTCATCCTACACCCAAGCTACAGATATTCGCCAGTATGATAAATGGCAGGGGTACTAAGGATAATAATTCAACAACACATTTTGAAGTATTGTAGAGGCAAGAAACTTGCCTGTATATATCCCACTAGGCCAGGAGTAGGCAACCTTGGCTCTTTTATGACTCATGGACTTCAACTCCCAGAATTCCTGAGCCAGCTATGCTGGCTCAGGAATTCTGTGAGTTGAAGTCTATGAGTCATAAAAGAGCCAAGGTTGCCTACCCCTGCACTAGGCGTTACTTTATTGCAGTATCTTGCTGGTGTCATGCAGAAATTCTTTGTAGCACACGCAATATTCCTATTTCTCCATTATTCCTCCTTCTTGTCTCCCTACTCTGAAAAAATGCCTGTAGAAAGTCGAAAGGATACCAGAGCAAAGATACAAAGTGGTTATGTGCCACCAGCAAGTCTGCCGCCTTCAGAGGCATTTCTAATGACCATTGGAGCTAAACTATAATTAGATTTTTATTTAGAGTTATCTGCCATTTCAGTTTTGAACATCATTACCATATATGAGTGTACATTTTAACTTGACAATTTTTCTGACTTATTATGTATCAAATCCACAAACCGAGCAGGCTTGCATTCCTCCTGCCATGCAACCTCATCCATAATTCAACTACAATGATTATCAAGCTCAGGAACATTAAGGCTAACCTCGTGAAAGCCAGCAGGGTTTCAAACTCTTTTTTTTTTTACTACAAAGACCACTTCCACTTGCTAATTTATTCACCACTTTCCTGGCATTCTTGCTGATTATAATGGAATGATCACTGCAAGATTTGCAAAAAAAAAATGCGTCACTAAATTTCAAAGCCCCCTTCAAAACATATTCAGTGCCATAAAGCATCTATTCCCCTATCACTTCAGCAACACAGTCAATCCTATAAACCATTTTGGGGGCACTGCATTTTGTACCCACAATCCCCTCCTTATTCCTTCACTATTTAGAGCAGAGCTCCACAATCTTTCCACCTTGGAGGCCTGGAAGAAAAGGGAGGAGCAGATAAATGCGTGTAGGATGGTGGCGTTAGCGTGCGCATACACAAGTGCACCATGCACACTGCAGTGGCATGCTGGCACCCATGCGCATGCACAAATGGAATGCTGGCGCCCACATGCATGCGCAAAGGGGCCACTAGCACACACGTGACGCTGTTGACAGTGTTAGTGCCCCCACGCATGCGCAAACAGGGTCACTAGCCCATGCGGCAGCGCTACCGTGAGTGGGGGGGCCTCGTCAGCAATTCCTGTGGCTCAGTGGCCAACAGGCCATGGCCCGATAACAGGCCGCCGACCATAGGTCGGGGACCGCTGACTTAGAGAATATCAGTTTCTAAAAGCAACATTTTATATTACATCTGACCTGATATTTTATGGCTGAAATATTGCTTGCAATAAAGATATAAAGCCAGGAATTTTCCCCTAAGAATATAAAACTGACAAGAGGGGAAATGTGGGTAAAAAAATTCTTTCTGGAAAACTCTACTTTATTGGGCAGAGACTCTTCATCTAAAGAGGGCTCTTACCAAAGATGATAATGTTGTCGCTCCCATCTGCTTTTAGAGACATTTTGTAATAATTTAATACATGTATCCTACCCATTTTGGGGAGTGTAGCTCATAGAACACAGAACATAGAATAACAGAGTTGGAAGGGACCTCTGAGGTATTCTAGTCCAACCCCCTTCTCGAGGAGGAGACAAATGGTTGTCCCAGTCTCTTTTGAAAGCCTTCAGTGATTGGAGTACCCACAATTTCTGAAGGCAAGCTATTGGTTGATTGCTCTCACCATTAGGAAATTTCTCCTTAGCTCTAAGTTGCTTCTCTCCTTGGTTAGTTTCCAACCATTGTTTCTTGTTTTGCCTATTGGTGTTTTGGAAAATAGTTTGACCCCTCTCATCTTTGTAGAAGCCTCTCAAATATTGGAACACGGCTATCATGTCACCCTAGTCCTTCTTTATCAAGTTCTATCAAGCTCTATCAAGAAGAACACCTGTAAGTGCCTTTAAAAAACCACAGCTCCTAGACATGTCAAGTAGAAATCAAGATGGCATCATGGGTATAAAATCAATGCCACTTTATAAGGTAGAATGCAGCTGAAGAATCTTTTCCAGTGAGTTACCATTCCCCAAATTCTCAGTCAACTTAGCCAGCACTTTGTACCACTTGAAGTGGTCATCATAGCAGGTTGAATTAATGCAGGTTGGAGGAAGCCTACTTACACCTGCCTGCCTGCTTGTCTGTCTCTCTTCAAAATCTCTTTGAGTTCTGCTGCTTCTCTTTTATCAGGGTTAAATCACATCATGACCAGCTGTAAGATGAGGGCACATACTGGTCCAGTATCTGATTTTTTTTTAATACAAATGATGCTGCGCTTCAATGGTTAGATGACTTAGACATTAGTAAATCTTTTTAACATTTATATTTTATTGTGTTTTACTATTCTAGATGAAATGTTAATACATATTGCTAGTCCATGTCTGTTATGCCGTACGCTAAATAAAATGAATACATCAGGGTTAAATTTCAATTCCTTGGAAATAACTATTTATATCTAAAGTATAGCTCTGGTTTGAATCATCTTTTATTGTTGCTGTTGTTATTCAGCCAGTCAACTGAAATCCTGCTCTAAAGGGTTTGCTTGAAGATTGCAGAAACAGAGCTGGTTTGGGTTTACAGTGCTATAGATAGTGAATCTAAAGCAGCTTCCCTGACCAAACGCCTAATAGAATGCTCTACATCTCTCGTAAATCCCACCCAACTTCATTGATGCAGTTCCAACCCTTGATACCTTTTTGGGGGAAATTATGAGAACTGAATATAGTGGGATAACTGAAAAAAAAACCCCAACATTTTTATTTAGTTGCATTTGAATAATACATTACCATTTTTGGTGCATTCAAGTCAGCTATGACTCCTGGCAGCTGCCTGGATTGGCAAGGTTTTTGAAGCAGGGTGCCCTTGCCTCCTCTCTTGGGCTGAGAGATAATGACTGGCTCAAAGCTACCTAAAGGGGGACTGAACTCCCAGTCTCCCAGTTTATAACCTACTTTCTTAACCACCACACCAAACTGGCTCTTAATTATCATGACTACTTCCATTTATTTAATATTTTTCTTCATCTAGACTAAAATCATGGGTTGTAGGCAATTTTGGTAGGGCTTTGGATTAAGCCCAAAGCTTTGCAGAGTTTGTATGGTTATGTAGAATGTGTAATCTTCTTCATAACCATATGCAGGTATGGTTTTAAGTCCAACTCCTACCTAATCCATTTAAATGTAATCTCTTTTACCTCAGCATCCCTTAAAATTGGTTTTGTTACCTATCAATAAATATATTCTATTTCCATGAATATATCTTGCATCTTAATAATTATATAAATTAATGTATTAGTTTACGACTGTAGTTTGTAATCTTATACTTTTATGAAATTTCTTTTGGTTTAATTTATTGTCTGATGTAATTTGGCTGTGTCAATATGTTTCTGTTATTTATTTATTTGTTTGTTTGTTTGTTTGTTTGTTTATTTATTTATTTATTGACCACCCATCTTACCACAGGGAAAGATGCTATTTTACACAGAGGCACATATTAATACATTAACACCCAGAAACATATTTAAAAAATAATTATAAACACATTTCTACTTTGTTTGTTTGTTTGTTTATTTATTTGACAAAATGGATTCTCCAAACCTTATCTCAGCAATAAACGCTCAGGAAACATTTCCAGCACTACATAAGATGGTTGGGAGCACTCAGAAGAAAAATAGCAAATTTTCTTGTTTTTATTATAGCTGGGGCAGTTTTTATAAAAATCCAGTGAAAGTCCTCATTCAAGGAAAATCACATATCTGGGATATAAAGATTCCAAGATGCTGAACTCATCCAGAAGGAAGCACATGAATCCCTTTTAATCATAGATTCAGTGCAGAGATCAGGCTGACTGTAGCTGCAAGCTTCATCTGATTTATGTTTAGTTTTCCTAGATGAAGCACTCTAAAATGTAAATTATACAGCTTTGATTACTGCTGCTTTTTGAACCAGTTCTGCCTTTTGTGCTCCAGCACAAGAGTTCACAGTGAAAGTTAAAAAGTCCTGAGAAATTTCATGGGTAAAGTAGGGCAGGCATTCTTGGAGAGCATCAACTGAAGCAGATTTCATTTAACAGAATAACAGAGTTGGAAAGGACCTTGGAGATCTTCTATTCCAGCTCCCTGCTCAAGCAGGAGACCTTATACCATTCCAGACAGGTGGCTGTCCAGTCTCTTCTTAAAAGCCTCTAGTGATAAAGCACCCACAACCTCTGAAGGCAAGCCGTTCCACTTTCCTGGCAACCATTCTTCTTCCCATCTCTTTTCTTCCTGAACATCCCTTCCTCCCCTTCCCACATTTTCTCCCTCACCAAACATCTCCTGCCTTCTTAGATGGAGAGGGGCAGATGGGAGAAATGCTGGACCTATCACACCTGACCCCAAGACCTGCTTTTGGAAAAGGGAGGAATCTCTTTGACATACTTATTTCTCTCCCTTTCCTGAAACCAGCTTGGAAGGGATGAGTTCCATTCAACACCCATGCCTTCTTCTGAGATGTTTTTCGACTTTTGATCCAGCCAACAGCCCTGGGATGATCCGAGTACCAATCAGGTCAAAGTTGGTTAAGATGCTATTCCTCACCATTAACATTTTTCTTCAGTTCTGATCCTGCTTTCTGGCTTAATAAGGCCAGAGATAAAGCAGAGTCACCATAATATTGGCTTAGCCCTGCATATTCCCAAATTCATGACTCCTTTTTTTCAGAAGCCCTTCTTTGCTTTCCAGTTTGAAGTACAAAACATATAGCAGTTCCACCCAGTCTGAAGTTCTCAAGATTGTTTGCCTACAGATGAGGTGACTTACCCACAGCTTCTTCTGCCACATATATTCAAAATATGGAGATTAATGTGTACAGGAGGCTTCTTGAGAATCTTGCATAGAGACTACTAGAGAATATATCTTACACAGTTAACAGGACTGAAACTGTTTTGAACAGCAATTGAGCAAAAGTTCCAAAGTTCAACTTTTTAAAAGTCCTTGCATCAATCAATTTCCAAATGGAAAGATTCCTAAAGATTCTACCTATCTGTGATCTGTTCCTACTTTTATAATTCTTATAATTTATCAGTTATAATTCTTGTTTTGAAATGCAACCTGCCCTTCTTTATACATATTAAATGCTAAAATGATGAGATACTGTGCTGCTCATTTTGGACAACTGTGCCACTGAGATTTAGTAGAAAAGGCAATGGAGGTTTTAAGAACCATAAAAAGGGTTTAAGGGCCACCAGTTGCTACCCAATCTTGCTTTAGTGCAATAAAGCGAAACACAGACAGACAATAGATAGATATAAGACAAGCAAATGTACAAAGATCTACTTACTGTGGCACTATTGTGATCTGAACAAAGCAAATGAAGAGGAAGACTAGGGAAGCACAAGCCACATATGCACCAAATCGATCATCCACCTGTTTGGAATACTGTAATGAAAGAAACCATTTCATTAAAAAAAAAACCTTAAAACTCCCATTCGTTGGCAACAATTTATGATCTACTAGATATTGTTGAATCCCAGACCCATCAGCTGTAGAGATCAATAGTCAAGAATGTTATAAACTGTAATCTAGCAATTTTACAAGAGCCACTAGTGGCCTTTTATTACAAGTCCTTTCTTAGCAAATTTGGCTTGCTGTATTAACTAAACTGTAAGGTTCTCTGGACACTGATAAAAAGGTTTTCAGATTGATAGCAGGGATTTCTGAAACAATCATCTTTATAGATATCTGAACTATTGGGAAAGAAGGTAAAAAGTCATAAGCCAATTATATTTAATGCAAGACCACCTCTTTCAACATTATCTTTACTGAAAAGAAACTGTTAAATTTTTTGCCAACATGAAAAAGTAACTTTTTTCTAGTTGCTGAGGCAATTTTTTTTTAAAAAAAAATTTGAATGAAGGCCTAAAAAGATGTGGAAATAACAAACCCAAGTCTTGAAATATGTGTTTGCCTAAATCTTGTGGACGGTCATGAGGACCAGATTTTCAGATGAGGTTCTATGGCAGACTAGCTGTGTCTAAAATCGCGGAGATGGCACTACAATTGTGAACAATGGCCAGTGATGATTTTTGCCTTCCAAAAAGTCTTTGTGGATAAGAGACAAAGACCTCTTTTCATACTCCCACACCATTTGAAGGGTCTCCATGGACATTTAGCTATGCACCCTTCAAACGGTGCGGGAGTATGAACAGATTTCCAGAAAAAAAAAATTGCTGAGTACAGGATTCAGGTGTTCCTGAGGGTACAGATAAACCTCCAAGTGGCCTCAACGACTCTCAGAAAGAGGGCTAACAACCAGATGACTGCAAGGAATATAAATCCATCCATTCTCCATCATTCAGTCAGAACTGAAGAAGCTTCTTGGATGAGAAGCGAAACGTCTTCAAGCAAAGCAAGGAAGTCCAATTGCCTTTTGAAAGAAAGCACCTTTGGGACATTATGTTAGAACAGTGATGGCGAACCTTTTAGAGACTGAGTGTCCAAAAACTGGCCCCGCCCCCGCTCCACCCCCTGCCCCGCCCCCACCCCACCTGCCCGCAGGGCCATTCACCACCTCCAGAGCCTGCCACAGATCGCCCAGGCAGCCCAGCAGCACCATGGTGGCCATGCCCTCTGCCCGCGCCCCGCAGCATCAACTGTGCGTGATGGGGCGTGAGGGCAGAGTCTTGTCTACGCTGCCTGGCTGCCATGTCCTTGTCTGCGCTGCTCTGTGTGGGCCACGCTCAGGGGCAACTCTCCTCCAGGGGAGCTGCTGGTGAGGAGGGGGTCACGGGAGGAGGCAAGGCTGGGGCAACGGCACGTGTGCCCACAGAGAGGGCTTCAAGTGCCGTCTCTGGCACGCATGCCATAGGTTTGCCACCACTGTGTTAGAATATTAGAATACTGAGAGAATGGCATAGATATAAACATTCTGTGATCAAAAATGCCTTTATGGATTTCAGCACAAAAGCATTTTATAGGAAAGAGCATAGAAATGGTTAACCTATTGAGAGATGTTATAACAAGAACATAAAGAATATAAGATTAACTCAAGAGAACTGGTTGTGGAGGGATTTAGTTTTTAATGGGTTTTGTATGCACAGTTATGAGAAAGATTTAAGGTAGATAATAGGATTTTTGGAACTGAGCAACAATGGACAGAATCTTCAGTTGAATTATATGTACAGAGGATGAATGTGTAATTACTAAAATGTATAAACTCTTGCCGAAGTTTGAAATGGAGGACAAGCAAGTTAAAGAAACGATTAACATTGACATTGTTACTATCTTAAAGAGAATTTTTATAAAATGATGTACCATTGATACATAACCCCAGAAAAATTATCTAGAATGTATAAAGTTACCTAAAATTTATGTTGGAAATGTGGACAACATTCTGTCTAGTAAACTTGTAAAAAAGCCAGAAAAATTTGCTTTCAGTTACATATACAGATACAAAGAATTCTAAAGACTAAGACTCAGCTGATATCGGAACTTTTATTGTTGGGATTAATGGATAAGCAACTTGAAAAAAACATGGGAAATTATTTTTATATATGATCACTGCTGCCAATTACATATCCAAAAATAGAAAGGTCTAAAATACCACAATGGAAGAATGGTTGATGGAAATAACAGAACTAGCACAGATGGCAAAATTAACTTGTTTGCTTAGAGGAAGATCAATGATTGCATTTATTATTGACTAGAAACTCCATATGGATTTTTTGCTGAAAAAAAATGAATGGATGATTTATGCATTTTATTATTAGAATGAATAGATTATAGAAAGGAAAATTCTGTAACCTCAGACAGAGAAAGCAAAATATAAATGTATTTATGACTGTGGTTAAGAAGACTGGACCTATTACTTTATTATTATTTTTCTTTTTCCTTCTTTTCTATCTCTTTTCTTAATTTATTTTTCACTTTGCTATTGCCATTCTCTATTTCTCTTATCTTTAACTTAATGTTTGTATTGTTTTTACTTTGTGGGGAAACTTCTTTAATAATACATACATACGTATATATGTATGCATGTAGTTTATGATGGTCAAGTAGAGAATTGTTATTTATAGTATAAATGCCTAAAGTGTTGAACTGTCCCACTTGTCATCACTCTCAATTTTCCATCCATTTGTCTACTGAAAATGACTATTTTGAGGGGGAAAAAAATCAATAGCATTAATGAGATAAAACTCAAATGGAAGGAGGTTTTCAAATAGAAGGAGGTTCTCAACATTCCATTAGGTACCTCTTTTGGACACTCATATGAATTTACACAGAACTATGATTAAGCATACCAATTTGCTGTCCTGATATCTAGTTTGGCTCTTGCTAGGGGATTTCATAGACCCATACATTCCTTACATACCTTTTTCTCCAAATCAAGCTCCCTGAACGTTAACAAAAACTTGCGAACATGCTCTGAACGTAACCGGTCGATACTTCTTGCATCAATTGCACGACCCAGAAACTCATCCACCTCGTCTTCTGGATTCATGCTTTCCTGGATATTTCTGAAACAACAGAATAAAGTAGAGGCCAATTAAGTGGTGTTTACACAAAAGAAAGTTTCTTAAAGTTATTACTTAAAGTCGAAAGGACTAGAACTTTCCAGATGTAAGATCCCACTCTCAAGAGCACCTCTCCTATGTCCCATTCTACGATTCTTTGGCTCCTTTTTCCACAGCAGACACAAGGCACCTAGCTCACCCAGGGGTTGACAAAAATGTGGTGGAAATTCATACAACAAGCAATAATACTTATAACCAATTTATCTAATTTAGCTTCTCACTCCTTTATTTAAACTTTTCTTCCCTTGAGTTCTCTTTTGGGCTCATCATTCCAAAACTGGCAATGGAGGTATCTCCTCCCGTAGGTAGTAACATCATTCCCCCCCCCTTAGGCCTGCCTCGGGAGAAAGTGGGAGAAAGGTATAGAATACTTGACTTATTATGGCAATTGGAACCGGAATTTCTGTCACAAAGAATGGCCACATCACTTAGTGATGACACTCCAGCAGTCCTGGTTGCCACTGTTAACCAAGTCCCACAGTTCTTAGCTGAGGCAACTTCCTGCTGGCTTCCCACAAACAGATCAGTGGGGAAGCTGGCAGGAAGATGCGAGTTCCAGGCAGCTTGCAAACAGGCTGGCAGGCAGGAGAAGAGTGCAAAGGGATGCACAGAGATGCACGAGGGAGACCTGGCAAGGCTCGAGAAGAGTGGCAAGAGTGCGAGGGAGGCTCTGTAAACGTCAGAGAAGGTGGCATGGCAGCATGAGGGAGGTGTAATGAGGATAGGGGAGTGTGCATGAAGGGAGGGGGGCTATGCAAGGGAGGTCTATTGAGGCTTGAGGAGGGTGCGTGAGGGAGCAAGGGAGGTGCGGCAAGGCTCAGAGAGTGTTGAACAGGGCTGCACAAGCGGTAAGGGAGGGTCGGGGATATTTGGGAAGATGCACAGGGGTGTGTGAGTGGCCAGCACAGCCCAAAGTGGAGGGGGCTGGGGGAGGGAGCACGGGCGAGGGTGACTTATCAGAGCCACTTGTAACTTCCCTGCCGGCTTCCCAATTGACTTTCTGCAGAAGTCGGCAGTGAATATTGCAAATGGCAATCACGTGATAGTGGGGTGCTGCAACCAGTCATAAGTGCCAGCTGGTTTTCAAATGCCCAGATTGCAATTAAGGGACCTTGGGATGCTGGGATGGCTAGATTTCCAAGCATTGGTCATAACCAGCATTCATTCAGTACCATCGTAACTTTGAACAGTTGCTGAATGGATGGCCATAAGTCCTGGACTACCTGTGCAATGAATCTTCACCCCCTTCAGTACAGCTCCTTCAGGATAATATAAACCAGGGGTAGTCAACCTTGGCTCTTTTATGACTCGTGGACTTCAACTCAGGAATTCTGGGAGTTGAAGTCCACGAGTCATAAAAGAGCCAAGGTTGACTACCCCTGCTATAAACTGTAAAGTACATCAAGGCACTTCAGCACTCATGCACACTTAAATCATCTAATAAGGATTTCTGCAACTATTTTTATTCTGAAGACATCTTTTGTCAGAAAGGACAAAGAGTTTTGTAGTCTACATTCTTCGTTGGTTTGGATATAATGGAAGGTATTAAAAGGCATACCCATTGCATACCATACAGAATTTAAAATATTCCGCCTTAATCTTCTGCGGAACCTCTAAGAGCTATTTTATTCCTAAGAAGGTGGTAATTTAGTGCAAACCACAAGATCTTTTAATAAATGGTAGTCTGGCTCAGTTCTTCAATTATTCACTGTAGATTTTCAGAGCCAATGTAGCACTCATTACATTTGCTTTGGCATCGTCACAATTTTAAAAAAAAAATACTACCAAATATCTTTAATTAGGCAGTCACTCGTCTGATTATTTTGGAGGTCTCTGTCTCTCTGCCATTCTTCTCTCATGCTAGATAACTAGTCTCTGAAAGATGCCAGCTGTCATTGCAAATTTAGTTGGCACACATAATATAGGCAACAGCAACCCAAACACGCTCTTTGTTTATTAAAATCAGTCTTATTTTCATAAATATGGATGATGTAGGTTTACAGAGAAGTAATCCCAGGTAGAGGATACTCCTGGATAATATGAAAAAATAAATAAAGTATGCCTTATTTTTATTAAGCAAGACATTTTTAATTAAGATAAAGATTCTTGGTCTAAAACCTCCGAATTGGATTCAATGTTGTTTCCTCTGGTAGAAGCAGTGTCTGATTTTTGGAAGGCAAGGGATTGCAGTAGGAAGGGGAAATCTAAAAATATCACTTTTTTTTTCTCCTTTCTGCCAACAGAATTGGTCTATTCAGTCAGACACCTTCTGCAGTCCAAAGGAACCATTCCATCTGTGAATGCAAGACCCTAGTTTTAAGCCAACTTCTTTTTTCAAAACAGAAAAGACTGTTACATTAAAGGGGGTCTAAACTGGCATCGGTCCCAATCCATCAAATTTTTAGAGGAATTTCTCTTGTTAATGGTAAATTAGCAACCAGAAGGATATGCTTCTGAAAATATTTCCTAATTAAATTTCCTGCAGTGTAAGTTACCATACTATTTACACACCTTCCAGCACGAAACAAAAACAAATGGAGAATTATGAAGAGTAGGGATAAATGGGTTTTTTTATTATTAAAAATGTGTTCAAAATATATTAAAAGGAAGTCATTATATTGACAGTATTGATCCTGAATAAACACTTTCAACTTCCCCCTTTAATAGCATAATTTTGAACACTTTAATGTGGTTGTCAAGAGCCAGTCTGGTGTATAAGAAACCAGAGTTCTACCATAAGCACAAAACCAACTGGGTGACCTTGGGCCAGTCCCTCTCTCTCAGCCCTAGGAAGAAGGAAAGGGCAAAAAAATGTTGCCAAGAAAAATGTACAGATGTTGCCTGTGTACTCAAGAGGAATCAAACTGATTCAAAGGCATAAAATACAATATTACTGTTTTCTTTCATAAATTAAATTGATTATCTTATGTAATACATTTATATAGTTCCCTTATGCGAATTGTGACTCCTTTTTACCTCCAGGGGTATGAGAGTGCATATATTCTCTTATAATATTTCATAATTGATCAACCAGCAGTTTTCAAATCTATCCAACAATAAAATAATATGATGATTCATTTTGTATTCTAGGTTTTTCCAGCATGTTTTTCCAATTATAATTTTGTCAGAGTGCCAAGGATATTTTTGCTTTCAAATTTCTTTAGGCTCTCTCCTTCCAAAAACTAAACTGCCAAAAAAAAAAAAAAAAGGAAAAAGGAAAAAAAAGGATGCTCAGGTCTTCTGGTATAAATACTGTATGTCCCTTGACATTCATGGAAATTGGTATCTTGACAGACAAAACAATAAGAAGGGAGGATCTGTTTATGTAATGTTTTCTATCACCCATATTCCCATATTCATATAACTCTTAAGATCTGGTGAACTATCTTTTCTTCTCTGCTACTTTGATTAGCCAATTTATTACAAGCTCAACATACTATCTCCAATAAATAACATCTTAGAGGTGAATCTAAAAATTATTGTAGAAATTGAAAACTCCAAGCTTTAAACTTCCAAGATGTAGAAGGCATTTCCCACAGCCTTTTATAGACTATAATCAGCAATCAACAAGGAGGATATCCAAACATATATGGATATACAGAGATGAGTTAAACTGTTAAAGGGTTCCTATACCTTTCCTACTCAGTCATCCATTTTTGTGCAATCTGAAGTGGAACTAAGACTCTAGATGTGCCACAAAGGAGGGTTGTAATAAAAACAACTACTTGGTTATATCTTGAGATATAGCCTCTAAGTAAACAATGCATGCTGTTTTTTTTGAAAACCAAACCACCTTCTTAAATCAAGATTTATTGAACAAATAATATATTGGTCTAATTTAACATTTTAAAATGTTGGACTAGCTTAGAGTATTTGCAAGCTGGTACTTTGTCCAAGGCAATTTTTTTACCACTACTACACTTCAGTCTTCCTCATTTTATAAAAAAATATTTCAAGTTATCATCCCTTCTTTTGATTGGTTGTATATTTTAGATAAATTAAGAATCTGCATGATTAATTATTAAAGCTTATATTAAATAATAAAAGCTAAAATCCCTGGCAGGATGATATGTATTCTAACATCTAACAATTATTTATGGAGAAAAATTACACCAAAGAAAAGCACAAAAATAAGATAGCACTCTATTTTGTACAGTGACAAACTTCTCACATTTCAATAAAAAAAGAATAATTAATGTTCCCTTTCCTTACTTGTCTTTTGGATCTTCAAAACCCTGAAAAGAAGAGAGAAGAATGCTAATTAGCCAAACAAAATGACAGTGAATACATTACAGTTGATGCAAAACCACTTAGGGGACATTCATTTGTAACATCAAGCTGATAAGTGCCTTGCCAAGAGTATGGAGCTTTATCTATTCCAGGTCAGGGCCCAGAATACTTTACAAACTTCAGCTTAATGGACCGGTATTGCTATCTCATCAGTCGCTATGCAGTATCTACAGTTATTCTAAGCGGATTTTCTTTTCTCCGAAACACTATGCTTCCTTTTTTTTTTGCTCTGTATAGTTAACATTTATGTGCCTAATATTAAATAAAGTATGGATGATCCTTTTTAAAAAAAATAAATCTGAAGTAATTACTAACACGTCAGTCAACACACACTGTTTACATCCGGTTTATGTATTTAAGACAGGAAAGTGTAATTGTGGTGCACACAGCTAGGTGACAGCATCTCTCTAACATCGGCTTATCTAAAAAAGTTAAAACCTTGTAAGTAGCTTGACAAGAAACTACTAAGAATTCCTAGAACTGTAGACTGGACTGCAAGAGGGGAAAAAAAAGAAGATAACGGGAAGTCATTTCCATAATTTTGCAAAGAAAAACCATATGCACATCATCGGGAACTAAACTGGAATGCTCAGTGACATTATTAACCATGTTACAATCATGTATATACAGAAAATATATTAATACCTATAATACAATAGAATGATTGAGATCATGTATTCTTAACTTTGAGCTAAGAGGACCCAGTCTCATATATTTAAATCTGCGCCGCACAATTTTCCTTCAGGAAAGTGTTTCCCATGCTTTTAATGCACAAGGAATCAGTGCAGTTCCTAGAGGTATGAAAGGGTAAACCGACAATTTTCTCATAGTGCAGGACCTTTCAAAAAAAGTACCATCTTTTTTTTTTTAATAAAAGATATTCTGAACTGGACTTACTGCTATTCCATTCCACTGTTTTCAAAACATTTACTTCAGATAGCTCTTTTTTTTATTGAGACATACAGGTAATCCTCAACTTACAACAGTTCGCTTAGTGACAGTTCAAACTTACAACAGCACTAAAAAAAGTGACCTATGACTGTTCCTCACACTTATGACCGTTGCGGCATCCCCATGGTCACATGATCAAAATTCAGACGCTTGGCAACTGATTCATATTTATGATGGTTGCAGTGTCCCGGGGTCATGTGATCCCCTTTTGCGACCTTGTAACAGGCAAAGTCAATGAGGAAGCCAGATTCACTTAACAATTATGTTACCAACTGATTCGCAGTGATTCGCTTAACAACTGTAGCAAGAAAGGTCGTAAAATTGAGCAAGATTCACTTAACAACTGTCTCCTCAGCAACAGAAATTTTGGCTCAATTCTGGTCGTAAGTCGAGGACTACCTGTACATGTTTTGCTGATTGGTTTCTGATCTAAAAACGTTTGAAGTTTTTAATTACGCTTTCCCACAATGGGCTGCCAATGTTATAGTCATCTTCAAATTCTCTATAATCTGAAACCTATGTGATTTATAATCTATGTTCCAAAGAATTTATTTTTAAATATTTTATTCTTCCTGAGAAACAGCAGGTCCCCAAGATTCTTAAACCTCTGTCATGTGTGTGTGTTTCTCTCTGTGTGTGTGTGTTTGTGTGTACATATCTATCTTTGGTATGACTTTTAGGGTTGAGTTTTAACATTTCAATCTTAACATCATTTGTATTTTATTGTCCTATTATCATTAAGCACACTGATTGAAATAACTAATTTTACCTAAAAAATACCCAAAGACATAGTGAAGTGGGAAGGTGGAGGTAAAGTAAGAGTTTGACAATACCAAAATAAAACTGAAAATTCCATAGATAAAATTCCAACCAGTGTTCTTATTGGAATATAGTTGACTTAGCAGTCTTTCTTTCTCTGGCTGGCAGAAGATGCCAGAATGTGCTTCCCATTATTTTGAAGTGTGGGAACTAATGCACAGAATCCTTTCTAGATTTTGTTGTATGCAAAGATGCATTTATTTTGTTTCCAAGAATTCGATTAGTGATTATCATACATTATATAAATACATAGGCTATAAACCTGCTAATTTATATTGTACAATTGAGTTGAGCTACGGTATTCAGACACCCAATTTAGCTTATTATTTAGCTTCTTGCAGTAGTTGACTTCTTCCCATTGCTAACTGGGCAATAGCTATATTATTTAAAACTAGTAAATTGTTAATGTCAGAAGGAGATAAGAATAATTATTTTTAGCTCATTAGTTTACATCTACTTTAAATAAATGCTTTCCTTTCCTTAAAAAAGGACAGGGAACTTATGACCTCTGGATGCTGAACTCCTATAGTCACTTAAATACTGTCAATGATGGCTAAGATTGTTAGGAATGGCACAGCAGTAATGACTGGAAGGCAAATGTTTCCTTGTGCCTCTTTTGTAGATTTTCATGGAAACAAAGAAAATGAGGAGAGGTGCTTTTTTATTTTTTTAAAGATAACTTTAACAAGATACTCTTGAAAAGTCAGGTTGTTGAGCAGAACTGTTTGGGAAAGGAAAACTGAATTTAGAACACTGTTAGATCCCTTTGTTTAAAAAGAATCGTGATGTTTCTCCTATTCTAAAAACAAATTCTTATTGTATATTGTGCAAATCAGTTTGTTGGGTGCAGCAAACTGGCTGCATTTCAGTTTAGCTTCTAAGTTTGAGGTTGAACATCCAAAATTACTAGTCTCTAAGTTACACTGGAAACAGCAATTGCTCATCCTTGAAAGATAATCCTATTAAGTGCCTGGGTGTCCTCCATTATCCAGAACCTAAATGGACACTAACCAATACGCTACCTATAAAGCCCTGATTGTCAAAAGTGCCAGAGGATTCTGCTCTAGTTCCCGAATTACTATCAGTATTGAAATGGGATTTGGGTTATTTTCAGTATATAATCTTTTTTAAATATATAGTTAAACTTTAAACTTAACACTTTTTGCTAAGGCAGATATTAGTGATTTGCAAGTATGTCGGAGTAAACTCTTTGTATACTCTGTATTGATAAGTCACTGCCTAAATAAGAGGAATATCTATTCCTCTCTAAATAGAATCAGTGTTACAAGTAATTAAAGCATTTGCATCATGTGTAGAAAGAAATGCAATTACAAAGTGTTTACAATGTTCAGCTTGAACGTATAGCATTTCATACCTGCAAAAGGTTAATTACATAATTTGTATTTCCCTACTGAATATCTGCTTTTAAAATTAGATCTATTGCAAGATACTTTGAACATGTATCCTGTAAAATCATTTTCTAACCAAATTTCAAAGATGCATTATTAAAAGGAAAATCAATTTATTGGGTAAAGCTTTTCTTAATGCATAGTTAATATGCCAAACAAAATGGACTTTATGTGAAATAATTGAATTTCATAACCAATAAAGGTTCTTGTGAAGCATTTTAAACTGAACAGATGCTTCTTTTTTAAAGACTGCATTTATGGAGATAAAGCATCTTAATTTTGGACAATTTTGCTATACAATGAATAACCTATGGATTAACTATCCTATTTATATCTCTAAAGACAACAACGAATGATAACATATTATTGTTTTGTGAACTATAACTTCAGAGAAATGCGGTTGCCAATTGTTCTAACAATGATTCCTGATATCCATAAGCATATTACATGCTTTCAAACTCAAATAAAAAAATATCAGCCATAAAGGCCTGGCTTATGGCTAAAGTATGTCTAGCAAATCCCCACAACAGCTAAAAGGATTAAACACCATTTTGTTAAATTTGGATGGTCTTCTCTGTGAGGAGATGATTTGTAAGTTCTTCCGTTGTTTCTTCTGATGCTTTCTTTCTAAATATGGCTATTAAACCATGAACTACATGCTTGATGCAATTTATATCTCACGGATTACGTCATGCAATGAATCTAAGTAAGTGCCCCTCACTCTTAGTCACCCATTTGTAACAGGTGTGATAAGCGAGATAATGTGGTTGTGGCAATTTCTAAGCTTCAATCCTTAATCAATTTTCACAAAGCAACTCATTTCAGTACAAGGATGTATATGAGGGGCAGGGGAATCATCAGAAACACTTTCTGGCAACTTGCCACAATGCATAATGATTAGAACTTTTATCAAAATAAATATTTTTAAAAAACCATGAATGGAGTAATAAAATAGAAATTACTTTCATGAGTAAGAACAATTCAGGGAAACAGAATATCAAGGAAATTGCAGAATTCATATGTACACTTAACATACACTTGCCAACAATGGCAGTAATATTCCATAGATCTGAACATCCTTACCATTCTTTTCATCTCTTTAGAAACTTGACTGGTGCTTAAGTGATTATAAAAAGAGCGATCTACTCCCCAGTGTGGTGGGTTGTGACCAATGGAATTAGTACGTTGGCGATTCATTTTGGCTATTGTTGCTTTCTCATCTTTCTAGAAAAAGGAATAGAGATAAAGAATTAAATTTTCAATCATTATATGAAGAGCTGAAATTCAACACATGTACAGAGATTAATCTGGGAAAAACTGTGTTTAGTTTTACTTCCTTTAATCCCTGCCACCACTAATTAATTTTTTTGTTAATTTTGTCTATCTAGACATTTCTTCATTTATGATTGTCTTGGAAGATTGCGTTTTTGTTTTGTTTTCACCATAATTATACTGTAATTAATTATTTATAATTATTCTTATCATTATTATTTTAACAACTCTTTTTTTGGGATGTCCAAAACATTTTCAGTTTGCAATGGACTGTTCCAAGCTCAGAATGATCTTGTTTCAAAGTCAAGATCAGGCCATGAAAAGGTTGGCACAGCCAGCTCAAAATAGGGCACTTCAAACTCAAAATGTTTCCAATGTAAAATGTCTTATAAATTCCTAACCTTTTCTACCACACCAGAAAAAAACATTGTATTCATCTGTATGTGTGTATGAGAGGAGGACTAGAAAGACTGTAAATACAGAAAGGGGACAGCAGTCAAAGAATTAAGGCAAACTTGTTATTTGTTCTCTGTGCAAAAGTGCAGTTTTTATAGCTACTTCAAGTTTAAAACAAAACTTCAAATATATACACAGCTAGTTTAATTCTCAGTTCGCATAAACACTATACTATACAATATACACAATACTTGGATTAATTGTGATTTACAGCATATTCTTTACATTTTTGCTTTTATTTCATAAAAACAGTTACATTTGACATTAGCATCTTTGGGGCTGTGTTCTCTCTCCAACTCCTGTAGTACTAAAATGTATATTACCCATGCTTCTCTACTTCATGGTGCATTATCTTGGCCATAGCTGGTGACAGCAGGATACATAGGAAAGGGCATCTAAATCAGCCTGGAACTACTTCTAGTTTTTGAGATACACAGCTTGGAAACCTTTTCTTACAGTACAGCTTCTTAAGTCAAAGATATTCAGGCAAATTGAAAACTCAATATAATGCAGGCTAATCTATACTGGTATCTCTGTGGAGTCCTAACCAATTGATGTTAGGGTTAGGGTTAGGGTTAGGTGTGTGGAGATACACTAAATAATTATTATTTATAAAATAGTCAAAGCAACTTTATAATGGACTATAAAATTTGGTACCTCAAATGTTTCAGGTGATAATCCTATGCATATTGGTTTAGGATATTTGGGGATAAACTGTGGGAAGGCCCCCCCTCCCCAGAATAAAAATATTCTAGAGGACATTAAAAAAGCAGGATAGAATATTTCCCCTAAAGGAGAAGAGAAAAATCTTAACAAAGGCAGAAAGCAGCCCCAGTCTTCCTGCTATAGGAAAACAGCCTCAAGCAGAAGCCTGAAGAGGCTAGTCTTTAGGAATGGATATTTTGCATCCATTCAAAAAGCTGGACCATATTATTCATAAACAAAGAACAGCCAGAAACCCTAAATAAGCAACACAATAGGCAAGGAGCCCAAATTGACAAGATTAGGTCCGACAAACAAAACACCTAGGATTTGCATTTCCTCTCTTGCCTAAGGAGCCAGCCATGACCCCTACATGACTCCATAGGAATCTAGCAACAGCCATTAAAATATTAAAGGATATATTCTTACACAGGAACAGGCATCTCAATCACAAAGCCCCAAAGAATGTATAAAAACCCACCCACTCTCAACCCCCTTTTGTCAGCCACCCCAGAAATATGCTGTGTCATTGAAGTTTCTGGCTATCAAATAAATAGAGACCTTCTTTCTTGCAGCTTGCCTCCATTTTATTTCAGCGTCTTTCTCCCGGCTTGGAACCGGACCTGATTTTTCTTCCAACAAAACAATCCCTTTAGAGTAAACTTACATAAGAGTATAGTATCAATTAACCAATCTGGGTATTGATCTAATTTTCAAGCTCCTGCTTGCTCAAATGGAAATTATGCTTATGGAGAGAAAAGCATTGATGTGTGGAAGAAAAGCCACACAGAGCTAGAATATCTGTACCGCCTTCACCCATTACACCTTATGAACCCACCCTTGTAGATCAGTCAAGCCAGCCCTTTAGAAAGGAGGTCAGCTGTACAGGAGTCATTGGCATTGAAAGAGAAGATCAAGAAGACACAGAAAGAAAAAAAGCAGAGTAGCTTTAGATATAGTTAAGAAGTAAGATAAGGCAGATCACAGTACAGATTATAGGATTTAAGAGATAGAATACAGAATAAGGTTTGGAATTAGTAGTAAAAGCACAAGTAGTAAAAGACTCTTAACAACATAATAGCTAAGATATAGTACTGCAAGTTTAAAGAATCTTGTGTCTTTATGTAGTCTATTACTACAGAGAAGATCAGGGCAAATCGTTACATTTTTATTAAATTATCAGTGATCCAAACCTTTGCTGATTTAGGAGAAATAAAATCCTTCCAAATCTATGGATGGATTTCTTATGTTTCATGCTAGCATATAATTCAGGGTAACATAAACTAATTGTTTTCAATAATACAAAGGTATACAAGTACAATATTGAGGTCTTTCGAAGGGACAGGTCCTTATACAATATGTCTATGTGTTACTTACACAGATGATGATGAATTTTTCCCCGGAAAATACTGTAGAAAAAATCACCAGAATGATTTCACCTACAGTGAATGTTTATTGAAATAATCTAAACATGACCACAATAAAACAGGAAAATTCCAAAAAGCAATTCACGTAAAATTCTAACCGTGCCTTTTTACTTCTATATAACTATATTAGAAACACTGTCTAATCTACAACAGCTCCAACTACAGACTTCTTGTGCCAGAAAATAAGAAAAACATTGGACAACCACCAACACAGAGGTTTGGGGATTCTAAAAATACAATAATATGAAATCATTTTTAGATTATTCTATTTGGTTAACTTTTTTTTATTTTGAAATAGCCACAGTGATTTATTTTACATTCCTAACCCATCTATTTCTGCCCTCCAGCTAAAACTGATTCTAAATCTACACATTTCAAAAATATATCTCATTAGATGCCAAAAAAGGAAGCAAAAACAAAACATTATTCTATGACCGAATATTATTTAGCCAGGCATTCTGCAAACAGTATTTATCTAAAAATCTGAAGTTTAAACAGTACTGATGTCTTGCCTTTATGAAATGACTAATGGAAAAGAATAGGGTCGTGTTAGGAAAGGAAAAATCCCTTACTGCAAATGAATGTTTATCGATTGTTCTTATATGGAGTGAAACTAAGAAAAGACAAGGGGGGGGGAAGGCTCATTATGTTGCTATGGCAAAAACGAGAATAACTACTCAAGCTAATAAGAAAAACCTCTGCATATTCTGGGTCATGAACAGATCTTGGTATACTGCTGCTTCCGTTCAGTCAATACACTATGGGAAAATGTGTGCAGTTTGTGCAGGTCAAGCAGCTTGCATTAAATAAAGCTCACTCTGCAAATTTGCCAGTGTTGCTGGGAATTGTAAAATTTCTCTGCAAAAGGCTTTCCAAATTCAGATTGCTGACAAATGTGTTCATAATTCTCTTGAAAAATGTAGTCCTTGTAGCAACTCATTTTGTCTGGTGAAAGAATTAGAAACTGGAAGCTTACTTACTCCAGTCCTAAAAGTGATGTCAACTATCTTTCAAAGAGTACGTTTCAGATCGAGAAGTGAGTTACGTCTTTTAGGAAATGGTAGTTTCATTCTGGACTCAGGGCAGTGGTTACAAAGAAGCATAATTAAATACATCAGGTTTATCATGAAGAAGTATCTGTTTAAGAACCTCAAGTCTTTTTCAACGTAATAATGCAATATTTATAAAAGTGACGATGTTCAGGTAGATTTTTTCCCCTTTATAAATAGGAAAAGATACATTCAAAAATTCTAAATAATTTGCATGGCGACTTATATGTGCCCAAACTATTCATGGGAGGAAACTTAGAACGCCATCTAAGAAATATTGCATTATTCAGAAGCAAGCATGGTTGAAAGAAAAGCACTTTTACCAGGGGCCAGAAATTAAGCAATGCCCTCACAGATTATAAATCTACACCATAAGAAAAACAACTGAAGTCATGCTTGAGGTTATTTATGGAACTTCCTTTTCTTTCTCCATGTACTTTTTGCTCTACCTTGGAAGATTTAATATATTATAAAGTCATATTATGGTAGAACAACTAACCTTCAGAGTAGCAAGTAGCTATTTTCTTTTCCAGAGGAGATTATATATGCACATGAAACTAAATAAGGTCATCACTTTAGAAGAAGAAATATCTCTATATTATGAAGCAATGTGCTTGCTGAACAACTAAAAGACCCAGAATTACAGACCAGAAGATTAGCAAGTAAAAACTCTAATGTAGGGGATAATGGAAGCTAGAATTGCTGGTACAATTTACATTGGCACTCAGTTCATGTAAATATGCAAAAGAATTTTCCTCTATTGTCTCGCAGCAGAAGAAAAAAAAATGAAATGTAGGAACATTTTATTTATAACTTTTTATTTATAAAACTAAACAAAAATAGCCTCCCAAAATTTCTGAATAACCAAATAAGGATGGGGTGCTTTGTAAATACTTTGAGAATGTGAATTTCCCCAACAATGGCTGGCAATAAAGGAATATATTTTTAAAAGTCTAATAAATATTGACTCACGTATTACTGAATTAAACTGTGTTACTCATTTTTATCGGTTGATAATTTTGTACTAAATGTATAAACCTACAAATTTCAATATTAGACTTTCTGAAATCAGAATGATTTGGTTTTAGAAGAGATGACTAAAACTGGAATGAAAGCCTAACATTTCACTATACAGTAGAAGGCGTTACATGTTCAGAATAATTTAAAGTATGACAGAGCTTTCTGACTGCAGAAGGAAATCTCTCTAAAATAATTGAAATATTAGTTCCCCAATCTTCTCTGGAAAAGTGAAGATTGAGGAGTTGAAATAGAAATTGCCTGTGCTAAATGGGATTTGTCAATGTTCTTTTCATCCTAGGTCAGGGGTAGGTAACCTTGGCTCTTTTATGACTCGTGGACTTCAACTCCCAGAATTCCTGAGTCAGCCATGCTGGCTCAGGAATTCTGGGAGTTGAAGTCCACGAGTCATAAAAGAGCCAAGGTTGCCTACCCCTGTAGGGGCACAAATTTCAGAAAGAATGCCCCATATAAAAAGACTACTATGAAGGTATACAAACTTAACATTAGCTTTAGCACTCTGCTACGTGCAGTTTCAGTAATGATTATTTCAATCCTATTTGGTTCTTACCCGTTTTTGGCTGCATTGGACAATGAGGAAAGTCTCTATACTATGCTCCTTGAGGTAAGCATTGCGTTCCCCTCCAAAGCCCGGCTCCACTTCATAATCACCATTCAGATAGTTTAGCGTAGCTTTTGTTATGTGGATTCGTCTTGATTGTAGACAAAAGACAATCAAATTGTAATATCCGCTTGTCAAGTAGTAAGCATTTTAGAATGGATAAGATTGCACTGCATTCCTACTCTGCAACTACATTTTTTCCATGATATTTTTTTTCCCCACTGTACAGGGCAAAACTCCTAATATGGGCAATTTAAAAGAAAATATTAAAGTTACATTACTTATTTGTGTTGGTAAATTCTTCTTCATGGAGAATTTCACCAGCTCAACTTAATATTCACCAATACATGTCAGTGTAAATCATATATAGTAATCAATGGTTGAATGCTATTCGTAGCATTTTCTGCTATCCTCTCAAGAAAGTCATAAACTCGCCTTCTCTTCCAGAGGTCCTGGACTTAAGTTTGAATAATTCTTAGATAATACAATTTTTACATAGATGTAATCCAATACATTCAGCAGCTGCCAGATTATAGAAATTTTGCCTAAACCATCCATCAGCTTTATTATATGGATGATATATCTATGAAACCTTGAAGCTGCATCTTTTTGGTTCAATTCTAGTAGTATTTCTGGGAGCGGTCTGCCTATAGCTCCCTTCAGATTTTGACAGAAAAGGTGAACCCATTTCTTTTCTTTTTGAAAAGTCTTTAAAGACAAAACTTAACTGAATTTTAATAGATAGCTTCTGAGTATTCTTGTAAGTCTTTTGAGTTTTGAGCCAATTTTGTCTCTCTTTGGTAAGATGGATATTTTAATGTGGAAACATAGCACAAATCTTATGTTCCATGCCGTATTGGTCCAATCAAAAGAACTGCCCAAATTGTTGGTTTATAAAGGGCAACTCTGAGAAACATGTTTCAGTCTCCTTAATTTAGTAAGCAGAAGATTTAGAAATGAGAACAACATGTGAAAGTATTATTGTGGCTCTCTAGCAATTCTTCTGAGTGGACTTATACTATTTGTATACAGCCAAATGCTCCTCTCTGATTCATGGACAGATGGAAATGTTTGCACTGATCTGCATTCTGACCAAGAGCTCTTACCCTGCTTTGCCACCAGCTTCCATGTGATTGGCTAACGTGACATCATTTGACCACACATCAAACTGCCATTTCCTGAGGCCCAAGACTCCGCAGTGAACTCTCCCGCTGTGGATTCCAACTCGCATATTCACATTGACGCCCGTCACTTCTCGTACTAATCTGAGGAAAGATGCAGAGATAAATAAGCCCACTCCTATACAAACAAACTAAAGGAATGTAAGCATTTATAATAAGCAATTTTGCCTAAATATGCTTAAAGACTGCAATTCAACTCAATCAGACAGAAAAAATAGGACGCAAGGTAGCTAGACAAATGGGGTGGAGGTGTTCTCAGATGATGAAGTCAGTGTGCTTTCAGTTGGAAGAGCCCACATTTCACAGAAGTGGCAAAGACAAAGCAAAAAGCATACACACTAACCTCTGGTTTCCATTTCAAACCTAGACATAACTTGCTTATTCTAATGAACTTTAATAGCCATGTTGCAAAGACAGAAGGAAAGTGATTATAGAAAGAACCCTATTTGTTCACACAATCCCATCATCAAACTTCCCACAGATGAAACACAATACATATGTGAAACAACTGCTTCAGAGTGATATATCTGGAGTTCTGTTATAGTCAACCAGCAGTTATTTCTACTTTAGTTGTCCCAACAGGGTCCAGTTTTAAAGAGTTTATAAGGTTGCTCCCAAAAGTATCTTTTGTGGAATTTTGGTTTTGAGAACAAACGTTTATTAGGAGGAACATAACAATTTGAAAGCAGATTATATCTCAGGATTAGGGAGAAATCTGTTAAGATTACTCTTGCCCTTGGAAGACCTTAAATGATTAGTTGAAAATGTTGCTATGGCTGCGTATTGTATTGGCCAGGATTAGTATTGTGATACAGCCAAGGGTGTAGCAGTCCTTTTTAAAGAACAAAAACAGATCTCATAGAGAAGATTCTTTATCAAATCAAGTATACAACTTTGTGACCATAAACTGTATCCTTAGATTCTTTTCTTAGATTCTTGCAAAATGCAATTTATTATAATAATAATAAAGTTGGAAGGGACCTTGGAGGTCATCTAGTCCAACCCCCTGCTCAGGTAGGAAACCCTATACCATTTCAGACAAATGACTGTCCAGTTTCTTCTTAAAAACTTCCAGTGTTAGAGCATTCACTGCTTCTGGAGGCAGGTTGTTCCACTGGTTAATTGTTCTAACTGTCAGGAAGATATAGAAGACTACTGTTCTAACTGTCAGGAAGATATAGAAGATATAGAAGACTAGAGAAGATATGGAGACTACTGTAATGTTAAACCACAAATGGAAAACTTCTAGCCCCCAGGAAGCATATGACTCTCTCTCTCTCTCTCTCTCTTTTTTTTTTACTCCTAGAAGACCCCCAAACTGTGCAACCAAAATGTGAATGATTTTTGGCTACAGATTTTCCCATAGAAAAATATGTGCTTTAAATCTCTAGTAGTCTATATGCATAAAATCAAGAGGAATCTGGCAGCACTTAGTTTTCCAACTAACACATTTTATTAAGGTGAGCTATTTTATGATTTATGATGAATGCATTTTATGTTTTATGGTCATGATTTATCACTATTACTTGTATGTACACTGAGAGCTTATGCACCGGAGACAAATTCCTTGTGTGTCCAACCACACTTGGCCAATAAAGAATTCTCTCTCTCTCAGTAAGCTCACTTTGTCAGATACACAGACACAGAGGCACACAAATATTTTAAGATTTTTTTTTTAAAAGACACCTCCCACTGGGAAAAAAAACTTGAAAAAAATATCCTTAACTTCAAAAAGATTCTATGATCATGCCTTAAACATTTCTTACATAAGGATTTTGTGCAATATAGTGGCTAATATAGCGAACTCAGAACTTCATACAAATTCAATAAAGATCAGTTCTCTTGGTGACCATGACTATTTCAAACATAATGGGGACATTAGAGGATAACACCAGCTTCCTCAGATTCTAACAATCCATCAGTTATCTCTGCAAATGCATTACAAAAATGCACAAGTCCTTGCAATGGTAGAATTAAAGGAACTGATGGGACCCCTCTTTGTTCCTTCTAAGTTCATAGAGAAGGTGAAAAGACAAACATATAAAACAAGAATTTGCAGTAGATCCCTCAAACACAGCTTAGTCCTTCCCTTTCACAACTGCACAATTTGAAAGATAGAAACACACTCTAGTGACCGCTGGCTTAATTGTTAGCTTCATGCCTTGGACAGAGGATCATTATTCATTACTGCATTATTAACAGAACAGTGGAACTTATATAATTTTGCAGATGATTTCTTAATGACCTAGTGGTTGCCAGCCAATCACTGCTACGCTGTCTTCTGCTGTGCTACTTGCAGCCCCCAAGACGTGGATGTAAAAAGGAAATCTATGGATGAACTCTATGGAGACAAGGAAATCTAACATGGAAAGGAGATCTATGGAATCTGTGGGTGCTCCTTGCTTATTTGCTATATTTGCATGAGCATAGAATATTGTTATTTTTGTTATTATTAATTTATTACTTTTGCATGAATGAAAATAAACGTACGGTACTAGAAATAAGTAGAAAAATCAGGGAAAGTAATTATTGGCCAATTGCTTGAAACATATGCAACTAAGTAAAATAATGCCCTTAAGAAGGGATTCTTTGGAAACAATTTTCAGCGATTATAGCAAATTAATCCCATTTAATTTCTTGAACGTTATTAAATATTTGCTTTGTAGATGCAGCTAATGAGCAGACTTTTTTAATGCAACAAATCTTCAAGAAATATCAAATCTGTTGCCAGGTTATTTAAATACTACAGGAAATCTGGAAGGGTCTTGGGTCCCATAGAAAACAATAGAGTGATATAAAAATTATATGGAGAAAGTTATACCTTTGGAAATATTTCACACATTTTATGAAACTAAAGATATGCCAGGTATTGTACATACTATGATGTTTACATCACTGTAATTTTGAAAAGTGGCAAAGATCCGCTGTACTGACACTCAGATTTGTAGAATTATATTGGCAAGAAGATTACAGAAGGTATTCCCTCTAACAATTCATCCTAAACAGTCAGTCTCATGTACCTCAGTTAATAAAAGACTTGAGGTTTCTGTAATAGCTTTCCATGCTAATAAACATGAACCAGTTGGGTTGGCCTCACTCTATGCAGAAGAGTTTTGATTTGATTCAAATCTAATTTTTGGTTCAAATTTAGATGTGAATTACAATGTATTATTATAATTCATCTGTTTATGTAATTACTAATGGGTACATCTGGCTAGTAATTAAAATATATATGTCCTTTATTTCCTCTAATTTTAATTTGATGCTGGAACTTTTGGCATGCCTAATAAAACAAACTGGTGAAATCCAGGGAGTCTAAATTTAAATCTAAGATATTATATGCAGATGATATTTTTTTTCAGTGATGATTAAGAAAACTTTTACTTCAATCTGAAATTATTATTCTGGGTAAATAGTAATTTGGAATAAATGAAATATTATCCCAGTCAGCAAGACGTTTCTGAGCAAATAGTAGATGTTTATTTTCCAGGATCTATTATATATCTGAAAATTATTGTCCCCTGGAAAATATTCTGTTTAAGACATAAGAATATTTCAATAGTATTACTCAGATGAATGACGATATTAAAAGATGGATAAATATCTAATGTTTGTGGGGAAGTATTAATATTGTAAAATTAATTTTACACCAAAATTGATATATTAAGAGAGAAATGTCTCCTTTCCACTTAAATATTTTAAATATATTAATAAATTAATGAGCATTTCTTTATGGGAGTAAAAAATTATGTTCAAGTACAGCTCTCTTATGATTAGGGTTTTAATTTTCTAGTTTTAAATAATGCCAAGAAGCATACTTGTTAACCACAATCAAGTACTGGAATAAAAACAATATTAACTATTTATAAGTATAGGGCTCAGCTTCAGTGTTACTAATGAGAACCCATATGATCCTGGAAAAGTTCTTGGTATTAATCATAGCAGGAACTTGGTTACTTTTCAGCAGTCAATTTCATTTGATTGGATAAAAAAAATAAATTTGATCTTTTTTTCTCGTGAGAATATAATATTCTGAAGCAATTTTTAATTAAAAAAAACATGAACCAAATTTGAATCATCTTTTAGTAACAATATATTTAAAATGTGAGATTTTACAAAAAAAATACAATTTACCTAATACAACAGAATGACAATATACATGGATGGAATGCTTAATGTTCATCAGTGACATTGACAGGTTCTCATAAAGTAGCATTCTAACATCTCATCCCAAGTTCTGTTCCCTTGATGTATATGTGATGTCATGATATATATATAAAACAGGCAGGGTTTGTGTCACAATGCTGCTTCCATCCCCCTCCATCCCTGTGGATTGCTGCTTGTTTTTTTTTTAAAAAAACAAACAAATAGCATGAATTGAAAAACTAAATAAGATGCCTTCTATATAGTTAGAAATTGTAACAAAGGCCTCTGATCAAGTCTGGCCTTAAGACAGTATTTTGGCCTGCCACACAATTCAAAGGAGTTTAGTGAGGTTGTTAGTAGAGTATGTGGCATTTGCAAAGACTTGCACTATGTTTACAACAAGAGTTGGAAATAGGTGTGGAGGAGTACTCCATTCTCTGTTTACAAATCGTCCCTTGTCAGCTTTCAAAAACCTGGTTCCTGCTTTATGTGGGGTGAAAATTATTTAACAATCTTTACCTCATTTCTAAATCTGGAGTGAGAGACTTTCTGTTCTCACTACCTCCTCCGTCTTCCCTGATGAAGAGAGAATGCTTCTCAGACAAATGAAAGTAGTAAAGATTAAAAAGCTGAGTTGGCAGGCATTATAATTGCTGGACCATTTAGGAAGCTCTTTTGATAAATTTGCATAGCTTTTTTGCCTTGCAAACTTTCAGCAATTAGTTGATAAAAGTGTAAGAATTTAGAAAGTTCTTAAATTCTTTACTCTGCCTTGACAGAAATCTACAAGGTACCCTGAAATAATAGGTGCAACTTAGAAAAAGCAGGGTGTCTCTACTTTCTATTAAAATTAATGGAAATAAGCAATCAATCAAATGCTTGTATTAAATTAATGTTAAGGTACCTTTTGGTATCCAATAGCTTAATAGGTCAAAACTACCCTAGTGTCTTCCCCAGGTGATGGCATTGCAACTTCCAGACTCTTTATATGTGTCTGTGCGTGCGCACAAACATACACACATATGCCTTTTGAAATTCAGCATAACCTGGGATCAATCTAGCCTTGAGGGAATTAAACTGGGGTAGGAGTAGCCTCTTATTGCAGAAGTGTTTACATGGAAGCCAGCCTATCTGAAGCTTCTCTAACACTGTGTTCATACAGAGGCCAGAAAATGTTGAATTAGCATGGTTTGTGCTAAGTGAAGCAAGTTATCAGCTAAGCAAAACCCTCAAAGCTCCAGCTGGTTCAATTTTAGCTATGTATCAGAGTACTGATAGCTCTTGACTTACAACCATTTGTTTAGTGACTGAAGTTACAATGGCACTGCAAACTTAGGCATGGTTTTCACACTTACGACCACTGAAGCATCCGCATAGTCATATGGTCAAAATTTGGGTGCTTGGCAACTGGCATATATTTATGATGTTTGCACTGTCCCAGAGTCATTGACTATAGCAGTAGCACTTCTAGCACTTAGAATTATATACTGCTTCACAGTGCTTTTACAGCCCTCTCTAAGTGGTTTACAGAGTCAGTGTATTGCCCCCAACAATCTTGCTCCTCAGTTTACCAAACTCAGAAGGATGGAAGGCTGAGTCAACCTTGAGCCAGTGAGAATCGAACTGCCGAACTACTGGCAGCCAGCAGTCAGCAGAATTAGCCTGCAATACTGCATTCTAAGCACTGTGTCACCACAGCTCTTTAAACCAGGGGTCCCCAACCTCCGGTCTGTGGACCAGTACCGGGCCACAGCATGCCAGCAACCGGGCTGCACAAACAAGCAAAACCCCATGCAGGCAGCACACAAAACCATGCACCCTCCGGTCCACGGAAAAACCTCTTTCCATGGAACCGGTCCCTGGTGCCCAAAAGGTTGGGAACCTCTGCTTTAAATGATTGCCATGTTTAACCTTCTTAGCAGGCTTCTGCAAGCAAAGTCAATGGGAGAATCATGATTGCATGATTCATTTAAAAATTGCAGTGATTCACTTAACAACTGTGGCAAAATAGGCCATAAAATCCAACTGAAATTTTGGGCTCAGTTGTGGTCATAGGTTTTCCTGTACAGGGGAAATGTGAATATTGATGTGGAATGTTTTAATCTTAGTGTCATCCAGATTCAGACTGGCCTCTGAGTAATATCCACTTCAAGATGGAAGCTTCTATTGACAAAGTTGTCATCAATGTAACGTTCTGAAGAAAGGGAAATGAGGCAAGTTCATGATTATTACTGATATTAGGATTTATTTTTTACATTTATATCTTGTCTTTCTTCTAAGGAATCCATAAGCAGTCACTCCTTATTTTTATTTTCATTATAATAACCTTTGGAGGTAGGCCAGATTGAGCTCCAAGTTATCCACTAAGCGCCATGTTTAAAACAAAGTTTCGACAGTGTCAATCCATCCCTTTAATTGCTACATCACATCACTATGCAACATTATGGAAAATGGTGCCAACACACATTTGCATTATTATCAAATTAGCATTCCAGTTGAGGATGTCATTAAAGATCAGTCTATACCTAACCTCTCCAATCTGATGCCTTATCATGTGGTGGGCTACAACAACTAGAATTCCTATCTGGCATTGGCACTACTGACTGGGAATTTCAGAAACTATAGTTTTAAAGCATTTGGCATATTCATTTGATATATGGTCATTACTCCACCGTGGGAAGTGTATACTTACGAAATGGCTTCTATCATATCCATTCCCATTTCAACACAACAGTGTGCATGGTCTGCTCTGGCCTCAGGTAATCCAGATACACAGTAATAGCAATCACCTAAGATTTTTATACGTAAACAGTGATTCTCCTGCAAAACAGGGGGGGAAAATGCACTTTTATTTCACGATCCAGGATGTTGACAGGCTGCCTGTGAAGACAATGGACAATTTGCAATAGACCAAAATATGATACCACCATAATTGAGGAAGCAAAGAATGAACCCTACTTACAGCAGCAAGCTTATCAAATCTGGCAAAGAGTTCATTCAGCGTCATGACCAGCTCCTGAGCAGTGCACTGGGAAGCGAGACTGGTAAAACCCTCAATGTCTGCGAAGAGGATGCTGCGGAGAGAGAGCAAGAAAAAGAAGAGGAGAGACAGACATGGTTCAATAAAAGATACTCTTCAATTCATTTCAATGGGTTCTCCTTTATCTCCTTTATCTTTAAAAGTGCAGATAGTTCAGGAGGGGTGTTTATACCGAATATGAGCCACCTAGTCAATGGATGCTTTATATCTGCTCTGTATGTGAAAAAGTCTCATGATAGGCAACAATCAGCAGGTACTTGATCGATAGATAATGGAAGGCAGTTTGTTTGCTCTTTGTTGTCGTATAATTTCCAGCCTAAAACAGAGCAGAGGTGCTCAGGTTTTTCTAGATGAGGACCCTACTTAGTTTTGGAATGCATTTTAGTGCATTCTCCAAAAATAGTTTGTTAGGCAAGAGCACAAAATTAAATTGATTTCTTTTCTGTTCTCATTTGATATATATAGGCATTCTTAATTGATTTTGCCTTCTGTCAAATTAAATTAGTTAACAGTTCTGGAGGTTTCTCAAAACTGCACCCAGGGTTTCATGTGTGACTTGAATCTCTGACTATATAGATACATAATATACTGTATATAGCAGTGGTGGCGAACCTATGGCACGGGTGCCAGAGGTGGCACTCAGAGCCCTCTCTGTGGGCACGCGCACCGTTGCCCCAGTCCTAGGCCTTCAGCTGGGTTTTATAAAACCTTTTCACTTTAGGCCTCTGCCGCCGTGTGCAAAAAAAAAGGTTCAATCAATCAGTCAATTTCAACTTCTCACAGGAAAAAAAAAAGATCTTGCAAAGTTGGAATTGATTGATTGAACTTTTTAGTCCCACCCAGTCTGCCGTTACCACCGCAGCCATGCCCACCCAATGGGCCACACCCACCCAATGAGCCACGCCCAGCCAATGGGCCACACCCACCCGGCACCCAACGATGCATAAGTGGATTTTGGGTTGCAGTTTGGGCATTCGGTCTCTAAAAGGTTCACCATCACTGGTATATAGTATATAGCTTCAAGATAAAATTTTGCATATTCTAAGAAATTACAGTTCTCATACTTTAAGACATATCCAAATTCTTCAACTCATATGAAATATACTGTATACCCTCATATATAATATAATGGTATACCCGTATACCATTCATGGATAAGTAAAGGTAAAGGAGTCCTGACGATTTTACTCCGCTAGTTGTTGCCGATTCTAGGGGACAGTGCTCATCTCTGTTTCAAGGCCATTGAGCCAGCACTGTCTGAAGACATTTCTGTAGTCATGTGGCCAGGATGACATCATGGGGCACTGTTACCTTCTCACCCAAGTGGTACCTATTTATGCACTCGCATTTGCATGCTTTCAAACTGCTAGGTTGGCAGGAGCTGGAGAGAGGATGGGAGCTCACCCCACCAAGTGGCGCTCAGGCTTCAAACCTGGGTTTCCAGCTTTCCAACCAACAAGCTCAGCACCCTAACCGCTGAGCTACCACACCGGCCTTCAGGGATAAGCTGTCCCTCAAACTTTTAACTAAAATACCATGAACAATACACCACTAGAACTCATAGACTCCTGCTTTCTAGGACAGCACTGAACCACTATGCCAAATTGGTTCTGTCTCACATGCCAGAGCAATCATCATTATCATCATCACTACCATAATCTAACCATAAATTTTATATCAGGATTAGGAGAAAAAAGTCATGAGGTATAAAAAAAAATTCCAACAAACAAAAACCAAAAACCAACTGATTTTGAAAGATTTCAAAAGCTGTCATAGGAACTTCCCAAAAATAGGAATTTGTCTACCTACAAAACAGTCAACATGGTGAAAAGAGTCAGGCACAAAACGTTTATTTATTATTAGCCAGGTCAATTGATAACTGTCACATCATCTTCTTATTCACTCCTATCCCAACTCATCTTCAACATTTTTTAAAAAAAGGAAATATAATTATGGTCTGCAATGACACACTGTTTTTATTAACAATTATGTGATCCAAAAACATTCTTCTGAAATAAGAACGATACCTGAAGCTACCCTTTTGTTTATTATATACATCAGTTTCACACTTTATATTTGTCTATATTTTAAAAATCTTTTTTTAAAAACTACATAATGCACAGAAGGTATGGTTACCAAGATCGATACTTGCAGACACATAGAGAATTCCGAGCACTACATAAACATAAATTTGGGCGGGGTGGGTGGGTAACAATTCATTTTTTACACATTAACAAAATACAAAATTACTGTACACAGAATATGTATAAATAGATGACACCCCCATCCAGCAGAAAGTCAAGGTAGATGGCTACTACAGCAACATAACATATTTGATATTTAATTTAATAACATTAAGTCAAATATTATGTGCAGCTACGATAATCTGGATAATACTGAGGGTCATAACATAAAACTCACCCACTTTCCATTTGTGACTCACCTAACTGCCCACCACTGGATGCTTCAATTCCCCTTTCCACATATCACTTGAGTCTGCAGTGTGAAGTAACACTTAAACTTCAATTCAAGGTTAATGGATAAAATAATTCCACTCATTCTTTTCAAACTAGTGTTTATTTCTGGTGAAGTAATTCTCAGAAGGCTATGGGTAGAGTTTCTCCTATCCTCGAGATGGGAAGAAAATATACTGATATGAAAAACACTGTCCCAAAGCCTATTTTTATTGCATTGCAGCAACAAGATTGATCGTCTTTCGCCCTTAAAGAAAGCAATCTGGGGGTACCATCAGAACAGAGATGGGTAAAGTCCTTTCTCTTCTTATACAACATCACATATTGACAGGGAAATCCACCATTGACACTAGTCTTAATATACAGTAGGGCAGATTTTTATACTGAGCAACCATTTTTATGTGTAGGTATTTCTTCTTGATGATTCACAACATCCTTATCATGGGCAGAAGTCAGGTCACTTGGGGACCTGACCACTTCCCTTTTTAGAAGAATCTGGTGAAACTAACTTTGGGAGAGCCAAAGTGATTAAAAATAAATACTTCTGCATACCACAATCATTCAGCGGTGGAATTCTTAAAATATGGTAGCTACCAATCTTATACTTGAGGACTACACAAATTCTCAAAGTGTATAACTATCAGTTATACTAGTATGTGGCTATCAGTTATTTATTTATTTGTATCCTGCCTTTATTATATTTACAAATAACTCAAGGCGACGAATATATCCAATAGAATACTTTTTCCTCTTGTTTTCCCCACAACAGCAACCCTCGGAGCTGAACTGGGCTGAGAGCAAGTGACTGGCCCAACATCATCCAGCTGGCTTTTATGGCTAAGGTGGATACCTGGGAAGCCCACAAGTGAGGCATGGGATAGTAATGTCTTCTCATTTCTCCCAACAATTATGAACACACCAGTATAACCAGTCTCCTGGTTTCTAGTCTGGTGCTTTAATCACTAGACCAGTGGTTCTCAACCTGTGGGTCGGGACCCCATTTGGGGTCGATCGACCATTTCATGGGGGTCGCCAAGCAAGGCTGTCCGCCATTTTTTTTGTCCGCCATTTTTTTGTCCGCCATTTTTTTCCCCTTTTCCGGCGGGTGCCTTACCTCCCTTGGGCTGGGCCAGCTGGTGGTCGGCCTGCTCTGTCTCTGCCGCTTGCCAGCTACGCCTTGGCCGGCGCAGGGGGCGGAACCACTCATGCACGGCGCTCCCGGGCAGGGAAAGTCCTCGACTTACGACCGGTTGGGTAGTCCTCGACTTACGACCGGTTTAGTCCTCGACTTACGACCAGTTTAGTCCTCGACTTACGACCGGTTTAGTCCTCGACCTACGACCGGTTGGGGTCGCGGCATTAAAAAGGTTGAGAACCACTGCACTAGACCAAACTGGTTATACTGGTGTGTTCATAATTGTTGGGAGAAATGAGAAGACATTACTACCCCATGCCTTGCTTGTGGGCTTCCCAGGTATTTGATTGGCTTTAGTCTGATCTATCCATGTTTGACATTCTCACATGGGTAATGGTTGTTGTCATTTCTCAATTCCTATGTGGCTGATCTTGTTTCTTGCCAGAACAACAGGTTGGAAGAAAACTGACCCATGGCTTCCCACTCTATCCTGTCAGTTCTGAGAAATAAGACATTAGCTCTTAAATAAGTTCATCGTCTAAAAGTCTGACTCTATCAAAATCCTATTGAAATCAATAGGATTTGCCAAACACCGCCTGTCCCATTCAAGTAAAACATAACCAAAATACTCTGCAAAGGAGCAAAGGAACAACATCACTTCAAGGGAAAAAAGTGCCACAGAGCAAATAATTCCAACTAAATAACTGGCCTAGTTTCCCCAATAATACCCTGAACAAAAATAGAAACGAATTGACATACTAAAGCTAAGAGCTTTATTTAAAGTGCCGGGGAACACTGCCGATTCAGCCTTAGTTAAGCAGCTGGGTATTGTGGAAGCACCTTACAAATTTATTATTCCTAGTCCTGACAGGAATAGTGTCAGCAGTTTCTGCTCTGCTTTTTTTTAAAGTCCTGCAGCAGAAAACTAAAAAAAGACTTTTAAACAAAGCAGAGACTTCCAGATTGGGTGGCCTGAATCCTTGGAAGAGCTGTGGATGCAAAATCAATCAAACAAAAATAAGAATAGGACCTTAGGTGGTCAATGTTAAAAGAACCTGGTGGGGGAGGGGAGGAAGATGACAAAAATAGGCAGCATCTTCCCACATCTTTATTTTCCATTTTTTTTCAACACATGGTTAACAGAATTCAGTTTTGACTTTGCACTAGGGCAGGGGTAGGCAACCTTGGCTCTTTTATGACTCATGGACTTCAACTTCCAGAATTCCTGAGCCAGCATAGCTGGCTCAGGAATTCTGGGAGTTGAAGTCCATGAGTCATGAAAGAGCCAAGGTTGCCTACCCCTGCATTAGGGTTTCATACTAGGGACTGTATTACACAAATACTTTGTATTTCCGATAGTTTGTATCAGGAAGAAAGAGAATGAGGAATGCAGAGGCTCAAAGTTCAGCTAATGATCCAAGACCC